GTTGGAACTTTGTGCCACAGCCAGGCTCCTCCCCCTTCTACACTTTTATATGGTGTAGGCAGACTTTGGTACTACCTCCTCTGCAGTTTGCATGTTACTGCCAATTAAGGTCTGGATGAGGTAGCTGGAACTAGGTGCCACCCTCTGCCATAACCTCTGGCTTCTTCCCCTTCTCCTGGTGTCACAACATAGGTGTCAGCCTTTGCTCTTTCTCTTTCATCTTTGTTACACTATCACCAGCCTGGGAGTGGCTCTATCCCCTGATGTGGCCCTGACAGGACCAACCTCCCATAGAAAGGGATCCCTGTGGGACTTGGATAATCACAAATTAACATGTCATATTGTATTTTTATTTATTTTGTTAAACATTTCCCAATGACATTTTAATCTGGTTCAAGCACACACTTGACATCTCTGCCATACAGGACAGGCAAGCATCATTGGAGGTCAAGTCAAAATTCATAACATCATGGATCCACTTGAGTGTTTGCTGAGAGAACTAAGAACAAGGAGTAAAAGTTGCAGAGAAACTGATTTAGGCTTGACATGAGAAGAATCTGAGGTCAGCACATTCCTGGGGAAATGTGCTAGAGGATTTGGAGATGGATTGTAACCACAGTAACCTCTGTAAGTAAGCAGAGTAACCTCTTTGCCTCAGGTATATTTCAGGTAACATTAGGAACCTAGACCAAAGGAATCACTATAAAACAATACGATTCTGGGTTAACATTTTAGAAGCTGTTGAGTACCCAAGCTGCCATCTCACTCTTACCTGAAACTTTTCATTTGTATTTTCTTCTCCATAAGAATGTGACCATTCCCTTCATTCCTGAAGTTAAACAAAGGAACCTCTCCTTTCTGTCATCATCTTAATCAATAGAAGGATGGGAAGAGATAATAATGTGAATAAGACTAGTTATCTGTCTTCAGCAGATTTCACCAAGAAAAGCCCTTTTGTTCTCAATCTTATCATTTATCTTTCCAAGAGGATTTTCTCTGGTGTTTGGAAAGGGCTTGAGAGAAAAACAGTATTTCTTGATATTTTTCATTTTACTAAAAAGTTTTTTTAATATGCTTCCATGTTACATATTTTGTGAATTAGTTTATCTCAATACAAGTCTCTATGTTTCAAAAGGGCAAGGGCTGTTTCATTTACATTTTCTCTCTATCCTCCATCACTGTACTCTGTACACAAAAGGTGCTTGATAAATATTTGCTGAATGAAACATGTAAGAAAACACAGCTTTTACGTCATCCAGTTAGACGCCATAATTGAAACATGGAAGTGAATGCCCTCTATAAATGAGAAATTGTTGAGGGAAAAGAACAGGGAGTTAAGGGCTCGTTAGTGGGAGAAACTCATAGCTGGAAGAGAGAAGGAAGAAAACAGTGAAAGAAACACAGAAGGAACAATTGAAGAAGAATGAGGCTAATATACTGTCCTCCAATGTTATTAGTACAGAAGTAAAAAATGTGGAGAATTTACAGGAGGGGATGGTCAACAGCATCAGATACTATTGAGAAGCTGGGCAGAATGAGGATGGAGAAAAGACCTTGGTTTGGGTAAAAGCTTCTTGAGACTCTTAGACCAGAGGTCTAAGATAAAAGCCAGTGTAAAGAATTGGGAAGGGTCAACAGCAGTTAGGAAGTGAAAAAAAAAGTAATGTCTAAGAATTACAATACTTTCAAGCTTAGATAGAAACAGACTAAATTATCTCAGGCCCTAACTGTGCATTCATAGACCAAGTATGGATGGATTGAAAGGGTCATGTCACAGTGTCCCATTGTTCAGCCTAGTTCAGCATCAGAAACTGATATGATTTTGTCAGTGGAAATGACATTAAAGAAGAGGCATTGCCATCTGCATTGCTGCTGCACTTCAAGGAAAACAGGACCTTTCCATCTCACTTGTGCCTGAAACTTTTCATTTGTGTTGTCTCCTCCATAAAAATGGGAGCTCCTTGAGACTACGGACTGTCTTATTTTTAAAAATTTGTATTCCCAGCAATTATCACAGTGCTTTGTACCTAGTAAGCACTTAATACTTTTATTGTTGTTCATTCAGTCAGTCAACCCACTTTGTGGTGAATTGCCTTTACAGAGGATACTGTGGGTCAGGATAGAGCTTTGGTGTGTGCAACATGCTTACCATGTTTAGCACATACAGCAGGCTGCTCCGCACTGACTTTGGAACTGTGTCTGAGGCTTCATTCACTCTGGGAGACATTCTCCTACTTATTCCATAATGTTGGACTTGACAGTTATAGTTGCTTTGAGAAGTCTTAAGCCTGTCTCTGCCTGATGTGTTAGGTAACTTTGTCCTACTCTACTAAGTCTCCTTTGGATTTTTTAATAGGAAATTATCATAAAACCATAGATTTATAGTTGGAAAAGACATTAGAGATAGCCTATTCTAATCCCCTTACTTTAGAGAGGAGAAAACTAAGGCTTAAAAAGGGAAAATCACTTGCACAAAGTAATTTAGGTATTAAGTTTATGGACAGGAACTGTACTTGCACCTTAATTGGTGTAGGGAATTCTCTGTGAGTCATTTCCTTTACCAGTGTAGGTTGTAACCTTCTCTGCAACCTGTCAGTCAGTCAACAAGCATTCATTAAACTACTGAATACTGTGCTAAGCATTGGAGATACAAAGAAAGGCAAAAACAGTCTCTACCATCAAGAAACTCATATTCTAAAATGGGAAACCATGCATAAATAACAAGGTAAAATAAAGATATATGACAGAGTAGATGAAAGCAATCTGGGAGGCAAAGGCATTAACAGCTGAGTGGATTGATTATGACATTTGAGCTGAGTCTTGAAAGCCAGGGAAACAGGCAGAGGTAAGGTGACAGAACATTCCAGGTGTGGGAGACACCCAATGCCACGTTTGAAGAACTGCTAATATGCCAATGCTGTTGGATTGTGAAACAAAAGAAAGAACAAAATGTAAAAAGACTGGAAAAGTCAGAAAGGACCAGGTTATCAAGAGCTTTGAATACCAAATAAAGGAGATTAGACTTGATCCTGGAGGCAACAGGGAGCCACTGGAACTCATTGAGCAAGGGAGTTACAGACCTACATGCTATAAAGTAGCTCAAAAGAAACACAGGATGCACAAATTTAGAGAATCCACCCCAAATGTTCACATGTACTATTTGTGCCCCACCTGTGGTAGAGCATTCTGAGCTCCTATTGGTCTGATAGCAAGTTGGATGCACTGTAACTTGACTCTAACATAGTGATGTCATTTTGGCCCTCTTTGAGAACAAAGGACAATAATGAACCACCTACCCTTTAGAAAAATCACCTTGGCAGCAAAGTGGAAGATGGGTTGGAGTGGGAAGAGACTTGAGGTAGGAAGACCAGTTAGAAGGATGTTGCAATGGTCCAGGTGAGAAGTGATAAGAGCTAGAACTAAGGTTGTGGCTGGGACAGTTGAAAGGAGGGAATATATACAACAGCTACTATGAAGGAAGAAAAGACAACATTTGGCACTGAACTGACTATGTGGGGTAAGAGTGAGGAGTCAAGGATAATACCACAAGTTGTAAGCCTTAGAAACCAGCAGAATGGTGGTACTTTCAACAGTGAAAGGAAGTTTGGAAGGGAGAGTATTGGTGGAGGGGACACAGATAATGCGTTCTGTTTTGGACATGTTAAGTTTGCAATTCCTTTGGAATATTTAGTTCAAGATTCCAAAAGGCAATAAGTGATGTAGGACTGTTGCTCAGAAGAGAGGCCAGGGCTGGATATATCAACTACTTAAAGGCTTTATATTCTTCTCTTTCAAAAAAAAATTGGGACATTTACTCATTTCCAATCTTGCAATATCTTTCCTATTTGCTACAATTTTTCAGAGATCATTGAAATAACATTTGCTCCACAATCTATCATTTCTTTTAAAACCTTGGGATGTAGTTTAAACCAGGCCTGGAGGCCTGAATTTCAATGAGGGCAGCTGAGTAGTGTCTTATCTTACTGAATTCAACCTGTTGGCCATGTTGATGCTTCTTCCTCAGTCCAAAGATCAATGAAAACAGAATTAAATACTAGTAAAAATTATTAGTTCTGTTTTCTCTCTAACATCTATTAGTTTACTCATCTGTAAAATGATTGGGCTAGATTATCTGATATTGCCTTGTAGTGATACTTTTAAAAAAGACATAAATATAAATAGTAATATTAAACTCCAATTTACATCAGAATTCACTAATTTCTCTTCCTATAATGAAATGTACCATACTGTCTTGGACTGGTAGAGTCAAACTCACATTCTTGAGGGTGAGGAGTTTAGAGTCATTCACCAGACTTTTGAGTTGGAAGGAGGTGGAGTATATGGAGAGAAGAAGTAGTACAGGAGAAAGGGAGAGAGATTATGATTTAGTGAACTGGGAGTCAGTAAACCTGAGCCATAATCCTGGCCCTGCCACTAATTCACTGTGATATCTTGGGCAAATCACTTCATCTTCCTAAGCCTCTGTTTCATATGTAAAATGGAGGAGGGGAAAGGTTGGCTTAAATTATCTATAAGGTCCTTTCTAGTGGCTGTAATATTCTCTGAGAGGACACAGAATTAGTTCAGGTGGGATTCAGTGAAGCAGCACACCACCAGGTGGGAACAAGGAGCTGGTACTCAGCATGGGCTCACAGAACAGTTCCACTTCATCACAGTTCCAGAGAACTGGAATGAAGAAAGCTGTGTGTGATCAAATGGTGGTGGAGTGGGATGATTCCAGCCATCTGGAGTGCCAGTGAAAAAAATGTAATTACCATTTATTTCTAGATACAAAGGAAGTGTTTAAAGGGAAAACATCACAACAAGAATATCTTAACTCCTGGGAGTTTCAGGATCTGAAAATGTAGTTCTCATTATTTTGGCTTCTCAGAAGTGTAGCTATAGTACTAATACATTTATTGCCCTAAAAAATGATCAAAGTCACTGAAATCAGGAAATAATCTGCTAATTGTGATAATTTGTCCCTTTCAATAATTAAGTGGACTCCTTTAAGTCTATGTAAGAACAGGTACAGAGGCACAAGTCAAATTTACCTCTGTGGAACTACTAAGGGAATATATCTCGGTAAGAAATCATTCTAATGAGTGCTCAACAGTGAGACAACGTTTAACATTTGAAGGAATGCCTGTACTCCGATCACCCGCACCTTTGTCCAATGTTTACTAGTTGGTTAGTTATTTTGCACCCTAGACCTGTATTCCTGAGTCTATTGACCCCTTCAGATCAGTGAGTTGTCCCAAAGAATGGCCAAAATGAGGGGAAATTACATTCAAAGATTACCAAATGAAACACAGGAAAAATACCCCTCTTGTCCTCAGTGGGTTAAATCTGAATATCCAAAGTGGACAGACCATTGGCATCATTGGAAGGACTGGTTCTGGTGAGATTAATCATGGTTTTTGTTTACTTCTTGTCTATTCTGCTTGAGATTGGCTGTGTCAATGTTATAACTATGGACAATGGTCTGTGTGTGTTGTTGTCTCTCTCTCTCTCTCTCTGTATATGTAAAACATATATATATATATATACATATATAAAACATATATATACACACATATGTGCACACATACAAACATACACATATATATTATATATGCACACATACACACACGAAATGCCAACACACACACCACTGTCCGAGGTTATAGCATATGTATTTCTATATGTATTTACTCCTCTCCTATAAGTTAGTATTACAGACTGTCTTAGCATATAGAGCTTGGAAGAAATGCCTGCTCAATTATCCCAGCACTAATGGCACATAAGTTAACTGCTTTCGGGCTTCTGACTGCATCCCCTGGACTGGTAACTGATGTCTGCCCCTGCAGCTATACTAAGGCACCATTTTAAAAACCACTCCCTTCCTTAAATGTTCAAATATGATGGAAATCCAACTATCCGTTTTGTAACTTTTTCCCTTCCCCAGGAAAATCTTCATTAGGAATGGCCTTGTTTCGGCTAGTAGAGCCAACTGCTGGCACAATTTTCATTGATGATGTTGATGTTTGCACCATTGGTTTAGAATATCTCAGAACCAAGCTCTCTGTGATCCCCCAGGATCCTGTCCTGTTTGTAGGTGCAGTAAGGCAGCTGTTTTTATCATTGCACATTCATATTCTCAGATAGTGAAGCCAGACTGGCCAAGAACTTAACAGGTCCCCCAGTGTAGGGAGAAACAGTCTGAAAGAAAGTACCATTTCACTAGCAGTCAGGAGAACTGCTGGTAACTGTCTTTTAGTGAATCACTGGTAGGTATGGCATGATTTCCTAAGAAGGACAAAATCTTATGAATTGCATTGAGGCAGTCAGACACTGCCAATAGCTGGTGCAGGAGGAACAATCATTATACCCACACCACTGTCTCCTCCTCAACCCAACACTGGGGTAAAATAAGATAAAAGAGGCAAAGCTGTTTTGCTAGCATGGTGAATACTATTATTACCTAGTAATCGCTACTGACAAATTATTCACTCCAAGCGATAAAGAAGTTGACCTCCTTAAGAGGTCATTAATTTTTTTTAAGCTGACTTCAGGCACCACTTAGTATGTTGGAATAGTAATGAGCTGCATGGCAGTGGAGAGGACCTGACTCAGGATTACTCCCTGACTGAATGAAGTAATGCCTTCCTTTTACAGATCACCTATGCTCTGTATATATGTTGTACATATCTGGATATTTACATGCTACCTCCATTGGAATGGCCCTTGAGATAGGGGTTATGTGCATGGGTTTTTCTTTCTTTTTTTTTTTTTTGCAGGGGGGAGATTTTGTTGTACCCTCAGTGCTTAACACAATGCCTAGTCCCGTTTTGTTCAGTTGTTCAGTCTTGTCTGACTTCGTGACCTCATGGACCATAGCACGCCAGGCCCTTTTATCTTCCACTATCTTTAAAAGTCTGTCCAACTTCATGTTTGTTGTTTCCATGATATTATCTATCCATCCCATCCTCTGCTGTCCTCTTTTCCTTTAGCCTTGAATCTTTCCCAGCTCCAGGGTTTTTTCCAGTGAGTCTCATCTTCTCATTATATGGCCAAAGTATTTAAACTCAGCTTGAATATTTGATATTCCAGTGAAAAACCTGAATTAATTTCTTGAAGTCTTGATTGATTTGATCTCCTTGCTATCCAAGGGACTCAATTTTCTTGAGCACCACAATTCAAAAGCATCCATTCTGCAGTGCTCAGCTTTCCTTATAGTCCTACTCTCACAGCCATAAATTGCTACTGGAAGAACCATAGCTTTGCCTATACAAACCTTTACTGGCGAGGTGATGTTTCTACTTTTCAGTATGCTGTCCAGATTTGCCATAGTTTTCCCTCCAAGGAGCAAATATCTTGGCTGCAGCTGACATCTGCAGTGATCTTTGAGGCCAAGAATATGAAATCTGACATTGCTTCCATTTCTTCTCCCTCCATTTGCCAGAAAGTGATGGCATCAGTTGCCAAGATCTTGTGTTTGTTTGTTTTTTTTATGTTAAGCTTCAAGCCAGCTTTTACACTCTCCTCTTTCACCCTCATCAAGAGGCTTCTTAATTTCTCTTCACTTTCTGCCATCAGAGTGAGTTTATTGATATTTCTGCATATCTGAGTTTATTGATATTTCTCCCAGAAACCTTAATTCTAGCCAGCCTGGCATTGCATATGATGTACTCTGCCTATAAGTTAAAATGACAATATACAGCCTTGTCGTACACCTTTTCCAATCTTAAACTAATCAGATGTTCCAGGTTAGGTCCCAACTGTTGCTTCTTGACCTGCATACAAGTTCTTCAGGGGACAAATAAGATGATCTGCTATTCCCATCTCTTTGAGGACTTGCCACATTTTGTTGTGATCCACATAGTCAATGGCTTTTGTGTACAAGATAAAGCAGAAGTAGATGTTTTTCTGGAACTTCCTTACTTTCTCCATAATCCAGTGAGTTTGGCAATTTGGTCTCTAGTTCCACTGCCTCTTTTGAAAACCATTCTGCTCTTCTGGTAATTCTCAGTTCACATACTGAAAAGTAGAAACATCACCTCGCCAGTAAAGGTTTGTATAGGCAAAGCTATGGTTCTTCCAGTAGCTTAAAGAATCTTAAGCATAACCTTGTTGGAATATGAAATTAGCGCAATTATTTGGTAATTTAAACATTCCTTAACATTGCCCTTCTTTAGGATTCAGACATAAACTGATATTTTCCCATCCAGTGGCCACTGTTGTGTTTTCCAAATTTGCTGACATATTGAACATAGCATTTTAATAACATCATCTTTCAGGGTTTTATATAGCTCAGCTGGAATTCCATCACTGCCATTAACCTTATTGTTAGCAATGCTTCCTAGGGCTCACTTGACTTTATTCTTCAGGATGTTTGGTTCTAGATCAGTAACCACACCATCTTGGTTACTGGTGATGTTAAGATCTTTCTTGTATAGTTCTTTTGTATTTGCTACCTCTTCTTAATCTCTTCTGCTTCTGTTAAATCCTTACCTTTTTGTCTTTTATCATGCCCATTTTCACATGAAACTTTCCCTTGATATCTCTAATTATTTAAGACATCTCATCTTTCCCATTCTATTATTTTCCTCTATTTCTTTGCATTGCTCATTTGAGAAAACCTTCTTATCTCTCCTTGCTATTCTCTGGGATTCTGCATTCAGTTGAGTATATCTTTCCCTTTCTCCTTTCTCATCAGACAGCTGTCTCATCAGACAGCCATTTTGATTTCTGGTTCTTCTTTTTCTTTGGAATATTTTTTTTGCTGCCTCCTGTAAAATATTGTGAACCTCTCTCCATAGTTCTTTAGGTACTATCTACCAGACCTAATTCCTTAAAATGATTCATCACCTCCACTTCATATTCATAAGGGATGTTGTTTAGGTCATACCTATATGGTCTGATGCTTTTCTCTACTTGGCTCAATTTAAATCTGAGTTTTGCAAGAAGAAGCCAATGCCTACTAAGGGCTTATTAAATACTTGCTGACTGACTGAATTAGTTCAGTGAATCATTAGTCACATACTGATGATAACATAAATGGCACATACGTAAAGTGCTTTTTATGTGAAATACTAGGCAACAGTGAACCACTATGATTACAGAGATCATGCCTCCACATTCTTTCCTGACAAAATTACTATACTGGTAGGTTAGGGAAATGCCTTGGACAGGATATCCAGATTTCAGCAAAACATGTATCAATTTCTCATGATATCTTTATCTACAAGATGGTAAGATGTGATCAATAAGAGATAGTAGTTTGGAGAATTAATAAATGGCTGAACAACTGGCCCCCAAATGTGGTCTTTAATGAGTTGATATCTAATTGTAAAGAGGTCCTAGTAGAGTGCTGCAGGGAATTGCCTTTAGCTATGTTCTGCTCAATATTTTTGCCAATGACTTACATGACAGCACAGATAGCATGCTTATCAAGTTTATGGATGCCATGAAGTTGTGAGGAACAGCTAATATGCTGAATAACAGAACTGAGATCTAAAAAGACCTTGAAAAAAATAAAAAAAATAAAAAGACCTTGACAGATTGGAATGAAGGGTTCATCTAACAAGGATAAGACAGATGTGACTAGACAAAGTAACCGGCTTTATATGTCACACTTTAAGTTTTGCAAAGCATTTTATATCAGTATCTCATTTCTTCCACTCAATAACCTCATAAAGTAGTTGTTAAAGGAATCATTACCCTCACTTTGCAGATGAGAAAACTGAGTCTCAGAGAGCTTCAATTACTTGTCACCTGGTCACCCAGGTCAGAGGGAGAATTCAAACTGAGGCCTTCCTGCTTCCATGTTGAGTTCTCTAACTCTGCTAGGTTACAGTTCATTGGGAAAAGACCTGGATTGATGTGTGTGTGTGTGTGTGTGTATGATCAGTATGAATCAAGAGCAAGATGATAACAAAAAAGAAATGTTAAAGAAACCCTCATGTTCAGTACAAGGAAAGTGTTAAGTCCATGTACTCTATTCTGGTAAAAATACTGCTGAAGAACTTTCTTCATCTTTGAGACCGACATTGTAAAAGAGATATTGATAAACTGGGACGCATTCAGAAGAAGATGACCAGGATGGTGAGGGGACTGGAAACCATGACATATAAGGAAGGACTGAAGGAACTGAGGCCATGAAAAAGAAAAGTCTGAAGGAAGGTTATGTTAATTATATTTTAACTATATGAAGAGCTGCCATACAGAAAATGCAACGGGATTAAGAAGTGTCTGGACAACAGAACTAGAATCAATGGGTGGAAGTTTATAAGGAGGCAAGCTTTCAGCTCAGTATGAAGGAGAACTCTAAAAATCAGAACTGTTCAGCAATGGAATGAAATGGCTTGTAAGGCGCTGAGTGTCCTGGCATCAAAGGCATTTAAGCCCGGGCTAGATGATTACTTGTTTTGGATCAGATGTCAAGAGAAAGAATGGACCTCAGAGGCCAATCTAGTTAAAACTTTTTATTTTACAGATAAGTAAACTGAGACTCGGAGATATTAAATGACTTTTTCAAGGTCCCTCAAGTAGTAAGTGTCAGAGTCAGGATTTGAACCCAGATTGCATGACTCCAGAGTTAGCATTTTTTCTACTGTACCACAATGAAGTAGAGAGGAATTCTAGTATTTGAGTAGGAAGTTTAACTAGATGAAGCCTAGGGTCCCTTCCGACTGTTTAATTCTGGAATTCACCAAAGAGCCTTTATGAGGTCTGCTTTATTGCTTGGTTGTGATACATCAGTCTAGCATTGCTTTAGGCTAATCAGTCTAATATTGCAAATATTATACATTCACTTATATCCTTTCTGTTGCCAAAATGTAGAGAACCACATTTAAATGCACCTATAAAATAAAATAAATGGTCATCCCTTCATTGTAGCACAATAAGTTTTCTCTTATTTTATTAGATTTAATTTGGATCCTTTTGAGAGCCGCACAGATGAGAAACTCTGGCAGGTTCTGGAGAGAACTTTCATGAAAGATAGAGTATGTTTCTAGGCGATGACATTTTTTTCTGAGAATTGCATCACCTCTCCCTGTCTCTTTCTCCACAGATACCCAGTACAGGATTGTGCTGATTTTTTTTTTTTGCTTTTATTACAGTTAGCTAATTCAGTACAATCTGCAAAGACTGGTGTGCCTATGGGAATGCAGCCAGTCTTAATGGCCCAGACTAGAGACAGCAGGTGTGTGGCCACACCAGGGACCTCTGCTTCTCAGAGGTGTTTTCTGCTACTCTCAGATCCAAGATGGGCATTTCCATTGGCTACTTGCCTTTGCTAATCAGGATTATTTCTGGGGCAACCATTTTGACTTAAATGAGCTATTCAAGTGGAATAATGAAAGCCTTTCTCTGCTAACCTCAATTACCAGGGAGCTTTCCCTACCTCATCCTAGCTGTGAACACACACAGTCACTGACAGTCATTTCCAATTGTGTATAAGTTCTCCAGAACTGCAGATGAGTCATTAGCTCTTTTAGTTGGGCTAACAATGGAGGCATATGAATCACACAGCAATTTTGAATTATTAATGTCTAGTTACTCCCTGGTCTTTTGTCTTTTGCATGTTTGAAATATTTAAATAATTGTTTGGCATATCCTTCTCCTCTGTGTTCAGTAAAATAAAGCATACTGATGAATGCAGCAGGGGTGGCAATCAATAAGTACCAGCCATGACAATTGTATAGATCATCATTGTAAATGTGACATTTACCATGTTTTATAGATAATGAAACTTCCAGAGAAATTACAGGCAGAAGTCACAGTAAATGGAGAAAACTTCTCAGTAGGGGAATGGCAACTGCTTTGTATGGCAAGAGTGCTTCTTTGTAATTCAAAAGTAAGGAAACAGCATGGAAAATTGATTGGTCATATTTTGGATATTTCTATCAGGGCTGCTAAAGACAGGAGTTATAGTAGCATGGTTGCCTTTTGGCAGAGACAGAACAACTAGACCACTTTAAAACTGAGCACAGGCTTCTGAAACAAGGTTTTAGGGGATGAGTGGATGGGACGAATTGACAGAGGCACCATCTTCCCCTGAACCTCCTCTCAGGAGCCCAGCTTCTATGTCCTTTCTATTCTTCTAGGCAGTTCAGGTTTAAAATCCTCCTCTCATCTCATAGCTCTGTTTCCTGAAAAGGAGGCCTAGCAAACAGTGCTCTTCAAGGGATAATGAGAAATTGAGGGTGTGAGGAATACAAAATCTAGACTTGCTTTTCTCAGGAACCTGGCTACCCTGGGTTATTGAAGATACTGCTATTGCTTTTAAAGACCCTATTTTTCCAACCTACTTCAGTATTTTTGTGACAACAATTCACATTTCTATAGAATGTTAAGGTTTACAAAGCACTATAATGTCCATTATCTCTTCACTCATCAAACTAATCCTGTGGAAAAGGCAGGACAAGTATTATTATCATTGTCATCATTTTGCAGAAGAGGAAGCTGAATCTCAAAGAGATGATGAAGTAACTTGCCCACAGCAGAACTGGGATTTGAATCCAAATTTCCTGACTCCAGGTTCAGTGTTTTTTTTTTTAAGGCAATTGGGGTTAAGTGGCTTGTCCAGGGTCACACAGCTAGTAAGTGTCAAGTGTTTGGTTTGAGGCCACATTTGAACTTAGGTCCTCCTGACTTCAGGGCTGGTGCTCTATCCACTGCGCCACCTAGCTGCCCCTCCTGTGTTCTTTCTACTACACCATGCCACCTATTTGTTGATAGAGACATATTAAATAATAGAACTGTGGCTAATACCAACACATTGTTTCTTCTTGACCATTTGTATAGTTAGAATAAGACATTTTAAAGGAAGTTACATAACTTGAAGAATTCATACAAATATTGCATAATTTCCCCCAAGAGTCATCTAAACAAAAAGACTCGCCTTTTCTTTCCTGGATTCAAAGTTGGTATAGAATGATTTTACTATGTACCTTTCTTCAACAGATAGTTCTCCTTGATGAAGTCACTGCTTCAATGGATTCTAAAACAGATGCCCTGGTTCAGAGCACCATCAAAGAAGCTTTCAAGGAATGCACTGTTTTAACCATTGCCCATCATTTAAACACAGTCCTAAACTATGACCATGTCCTAGTCATGGACAGTGGGAAGGTAAAGAAAGTCCTGTCTTGATTCATTTACCCAGAAACATTATTAGGTGTTGGTTTCATGTTGGAGATTTTTCTAATATGTTGGTCCTTCTTCTCCTGCTTTCAGGTGGTTGAGTTTGACTTGTCGGAGGTTCTTGCTGAGAAACCAGATTTTGCATTTGCAACATTATTAGCTGCAGAAAAAGAAGTCTGATAGTAAAGAGCATGTTGTAGGTCCCCATCATGTGATATTAGAGAAGGATGATAATGTGTAAATGAGTAGGAAATGAAGTCAATTCAAGAGCCCAGTGTCCAGAAATGCTTATCACTGTGACTTTAGTGGGAACAGGGCTTGACATGCAGAAAGCACTCAGCCCCCCAGGCAACCAACAGTGCTGGGATGGAAACTGCCTGGCCCTCCAAGGTCTCCTCACCTCAGGTTGGATTTGAAGTTGGTAATGGACCATGGACAGAAGCAGAGAGAGCTAATGGAATCATACACTGCTCCTCATCTGCTAAAGTTCCAACCCTATGTCCCACTAATTCAATCTTATTTCCTGAAAACAGAAATACTGATTTTTTTTTCCTTGGAGAACATGTTAACAAGAAACAGAATGAGGAGGTGCCTGGATATAGGGGTTTTACAGGTTTCCTTAAAGTTAGCATCAGAGGAAAAGATGTGTGTGTTCTATTTAAGTTCCAATTCACTTTTATCTTGACTATGTAACATGTAATAACTACACAGATCTATAACATGAAAGACTGACTGCAGTGTTTGTTAAAAAATAAAATCATACTGTATACTCCATTTGATCTATATGTCAGAATAACCAGGAAAACAAAATGTTGGAGTTTATATATAATTGATATTTTTATATCTTCATTTGGTCATTAAAATACACTAGAAAATTAAACTACCTTGAAATGTTGCTTCACAATTATTTTCCTGAGGATAGTCGAACTTTTGTACCATTGCCTCTCATAGAAACCATAGTGGTTTCTTCCTTCATTCAATAACTTAAGTGATATTTTCCTAATAAAGAATTTTCTTTATGACTTCAAGGTTCCTTGCAGCTGTGACAGATACATTAAAAAATGCCCTCCAAGTAGACTAGAGAGTGACCAGTTCTAAGTCATTGCGACATTTAAAAAGAAATAGCAAATCTAAAATGTTCTTTCACAATATTTGCCAGTGGCAGCTTATTTTTTTCTTTTTTATGAGTGGCCTATTGATAATTACAGCAGTTTCTCATATATGGTTATGCTATGGTGATTTAATGTTGCTTATTACGTTAATTCCTGTGATGTGAAGGGAAATTTGATGTCTTGAAGATTCTTTTCTTAGCCACATCTAACTTTTTATCTTATTGTACTTATTGTACCATAGGGGAGTGTTTCCATCAGCAAAAGATTTACACTGAGTTCAATCAAAGCTGAAAATGACAAAGTTGGGGAGGCTCAATTCAAATGCAACTCATGCCAAGGAAAATTCCTCTCCTCCAAACTCTGAATCTTCAAGGTGAAAGGACATAATGTACCTTTAAATGGTCCACTGCACAGGGAACAGCTGTCTCCCTTGGTTTTTATTCTTGATTTTGAGATCAAAACACTAATGTAAGTTCATACTATAGAGGTTACAAGTTTGGGCCAATTACAGTCAGTCAATTTGATAGCAACTCCTATCATTCAATAAGCAAGAAATACTGGTTATACATTGTCCAGGGGGGATTCCATTCTCTTCAGCCAAATGTAGGTCATCTTGAGGCCATTTTTATTTTCTCCCAACTTGGTACCAAAAGAGCAGTTGGACCATGATTTTCAGGAGGTGCTTCCATGAAGCCAATGATCCTGTGTCCGTTCTCTTGGTCTCAGTTTCTTCTATGACTGCTTTTTAAAAAATGACCTATTATGCAAAACATTTTACTTTCTCACTCCCAGTGAACCACTACCCCGACCAGAGGAGAAATTCAATTCGCATCCCTTCCCGATAGATTGTCTTTGTTATTTATGGTTCTTAGGCAAGAGTACTGTCAAGGTCTTGTTATTACTGACTGCAAGGGTTCTGTGAACTCTGATAAACTTTCCTGTCAAGGACTCAGCTGTGACTGTTCTTGTAACATAAGCATCACTGCTTAGCCCTTTGCTGTATACCATTCCTAAGACCTCAAGCAGCTTATAGACTTGCCTAACATAAGAGACCTCCCAGGGACACAAATAACACAGAGGAACCAAAACACAGATATGCAAAGGAAACCACCCAGATAAAGAGACTCACTTGAACTGGACCACACACACACACACACACACACACACACACACACACACACACACACACACCCTGCCTCCTTTTGCTTTTCCTATACTATAATTCATTCAGCTCTATGATCATATATAAAGCACAGCTCAGAGGCCTGGATTATGTCTGATTTTGCAAACTGCCTCAGAAGCAAACCCTCATTAGGGACAGTGGCAGTAGTTGCTACCTACCTCCCAGTTCAGCTGCCTGGACTTGTGATTGTAGTAACAGGTATGTGCAGTTCCTTGTCTGGTCAGCTAAATTCACTTGGTATATGGAACACGGCCACACTAAGATAGTGCCAGAGTGTCAACACTACACTCTGTATTCTGTTAAGATCCATCTAGAGCAGGATTGTGTTTGATGAGGCCCAAGATCCCTCCAACCCCTCAAGGAATTATGAGATTTGGATTTTGAATTACAAGGGTAAGGAATTCTTTCAGAGTCCCATTTAAACAAAGGAGGAATACCTTCTTATATGTTTACCTAGTTTCTCAACACGGTTTGTAAAGAAGGCTCAATCTTGTAATATAGAGAAATTAATTGGAAGAAGGAAAGCCCATCACTCACAACGATGTGAGGAGGTGAGAAACACAAACTCAAGGATGCCACAGTTAGTCTTGGTGAGTAGGGAGCAGAAAGCTCTTTCCATGGCAGCAGACATCAGTATTTAGGATGCCTAGGGTGCCATTCAGGGCACTGAAAAAATGCTATTCACTTCATTTTAGAGAGAGTGCATCTCTGACAAAGGGGAATCATTTATCTCCTCTCTGAGTCTTAGGGCCCTTTAAAAATATTTCTCCTGCCCTCTGTGCCTCCTCTGGGAGATCAAAAGAACTCCCAAAGTTTTATTCTTATCATTGAAGCAAATAGATCTAAAACTGGCTCAGAGTTGTTAATAAAAATAGGAAATGCTCTTTTCTATGAGCTCGAATCCTTGTGGCCAGTGACATGATTTAAAGGTATTTGAAATACTGCAGTTCAAGTTGAGGTCAGGTGACCAAAGAAATTATTCTCTTCTTGTCCTTTGTAGAAGGCCATGTTTGGAGGAAGTTAAAGCTGTGGCTCAAAACTTAAAAGACAAGATGATTGCTATGGATAGGGTCTGACTTATCTTCATGTCGTGAAAGGTCCTTTGTCTGCAGCTGAACAGTTTTCACCTCAGGCTGAGATAGAATCAAAAGGCCAGAATGAAGACACCATGGCTCACATTTTAGCACAAAACTGGGAGAAAGCCAAAGTACAGAGACCACTATAATAGCTTTCTCTAGTTCTGGGTCCCCTCTGGTTGTCATGAACTAAAACCAGAGAAATCTAAATACATGGTTGGGATTTATTTGTGAATTACTTTAAGAAAACATCACTCAAACTGTGAACTGATTGACATCAGGGCAAGGAAGGTATTTTTGGAAGAATGACAAAATCTCAAAGTTGGACAGTCTAAACTATGATTCTATGACATATATTAGAGACAGTAAGGAGATTAGTTGGTCCAGAATGGATGGATTATATGGGAAAGAGGAGCTGAAAACTTGCCATGCACTTTTTCTGCCTGAACCTATACCACCCCTCACCCCATTTATTCTATTCTCTCTTTTGACCCTGTCCCTCCTCAGAAGTGTTTGTTTCTGATTACCCCCTCCCCCAATCCGTCCTCCTCTTTACCAACTCCCCTCTCTTCTCGTATCCCCCTCTCCCCTATTTTCCTGTAGGGTAAGATAGATTTCCATACCCAACTGAGTGTGTATGGTATTCCCTCCTTAAGCCAAATCCGATGAGAAAAAGATTAACTCATTCCCTCTCACCTTCCCCCTGTTTTGTTCCTCTTGACTCCTGTGTTTTCATTTCAAAATTTCTCTATAGCTCTCATTATTTCATTGGGATTTCTTGGAAATTCTTGATTTCATTAAAATTTCATTTTCTCCCCTGTAGGCTTATACTCAGTTTTACAGAGTAAGTTATTCTTGATTATAAGCCAATACCCCTTGCCTTCTGAGAACTCATATTCTAAGTTATCTGCCCCCTTATACTGCTAGAGGTTAAATCATTGGAATCCTTCCTGTAGATCCTTGGTACTTGTGTTCTTTCTTTCTGGATGCTTAACAATATTTTTTGTTTTACCTGGAAGCTCTGGATTTGAACTATTTCTGGAAGTTTTCATTTTACAGTTTCTTTCAGGAGGTGATCAGTGGATTCTTTCTATTCCCATTTTGCCTACTGGTTCTAAGAGATCTGGAGAGTTTTCCTTTATAATTTCTTGAAATATGACACATAAGCTCTATTTCTGGTCATAGTCTTCAGGTTGTTCAATGATTCTTAAATTATCTCTCCTCAATCTATTTTCCAGGTCAGTTGTTTTTGCTGTGAAATACCACATTTACTTCTCTTTTTTAAATTCTTTTTGCTTTGTTTTAATATTTCTTGCTGTCTCATAGAGTCATTATCTTCTACTCAGTCCATTCTAATTTTCAGGGAATTTGTTGCTTGGGTGAGGTTTTGTACCTCTCAGGCCAACCTGTTAATTCTCTTTCTGATCTGCATTCAATAGCTCTCATTTCTTTTCTATAAAATTTTCCCTTTATTACTCTCATTTATTAAAAAAAAGAACTTTAAAATTTGGTTTTTTTAAACTCTTGCTTCACCTCTTCCAAGAATTCTAGTTGAATTTGTGCCCAGGATGTGTTCTGGGGGGAATGTCTGGGCTGAGTTCATGTTCTCTTAGGTCCTGCTACTTTCTAGAGGTATTAAGTATTGTTTTAGGATCTCAGGGACATATTAGACTTGCACACTTTTTTCCCTTTTTTATTTTTAGATAATTTGTTAAGTTTTATGGCATGAACTTTGTAGAGGGGTACTATGTACAGAGGTACAGAATTGTGTGTGTGTGTTGTGTATGTGTGTTTTCACTATACCACACC